CGCGAGCGCCGCTTCAAACGCCATGGCCGCCGCATCGTCGGCCGCGAGCGCCGCAAGACCCTTGTTGATGTGCGCCATGTCGGCCTTGAACGCCTTGCCGACCTTGCCCTTGTTGACCTTGATGTCGACAATGTCCTTGGCGCGCGGCGCGTCGTACTTGAGCGTACCGACCATCTCGACCTTGGACTTGGCGGCGTGGACCTGGAGGTCGTAGCACGAGCGGTCGGCGTGGCCGGCGCACTCGACCCAGCCCGAGCTGAGCTGGATCTCGAGGTCCCAGCAGTCGCACGCGTAATGGGCCATCTCCGTGTCCAAATGCTGGCGGAAGCGGACGCGGTCCATGTCAATGCCAATCGACTTGACGAAGGTCGACGTGCGCGCGAGGTAGTACGCGAGCGACTCGTTGGCAATGATCTTCTGAGCGACCGCGTCACGGACCGTCATCTGGACCGTCTTGCCCGTCGTGAGCTGGAGCTCCTTAGGGAAGAGGGTCAGCATCTGGTCCGCGACGAGACCAAACTTGGCGTGCGACTTGTCGTCCGGGTGCACGAACCACTCGATCTCGGCCTGTTGGAACTCACGGACGCGGACGAGGCCATTACGTGGCGCAATCTCGTTGCGGAACGCGTTGCCAATCTGCGCGCAGCCAAACGGGATCTTGCCGGCGTTGTACTCGAGGAGCCGGCGAAAGTTGAGGAAGATACCTTGCGCGGTTTCCGGGCGGAGGTAGCCGACGTGCGTGCCTTCGGGGCCAATGTGGCACTTGAACATGAGGTTGAATGGCATCGGGAACGAGAGCGGCGCGCCGTGGCCGGGCGAGAGGATGCCATACTCCTGGATGACCGCGTGCATCTCTTCGGGCGAGAGCGACTCGGCCTTGGTGGCCACGAGGCGGTGCTTCTCCTGCTCGGCCGAGCTCAGCGACGACGCGTTCTTGGCGAGGAGGTTCTCGATGAAATCTTCCACGAGCTTGTCGGCGCGGTAGCACTCGCCCGACTTGGTGCACTTGGCCATGAGGTCCGTGAACCGGTCGACGTGGCCCGACGTCTTGAGGACCACTTCGGGCATGATGTTGGTGCACTCGATCTCGAGCACGTCGTCTTCCATGAGGAAGTGGCGGCGCCACGCGGCGAGGAGGTTGCCCTTGAGCGCCGCGCCGGGCGGGCCAAAGTCGTAGAAGCCACCGACGCCACCGTAAATCTCAAACGACGGCACGACAAACATCTTGCGCAAGAGCAAATCCTCGAGCGCTACAGATGGCATGAGTCGGCGAACGCAGCGAAAGCGACGTACCCTTCTTGTTGAGCACCGGGCCGGCCGGCTCGGCCATCGCGCTGACGCTGCGCCTTGAGCTCGTTGAGCGCAACGACGGCCGTCGTGATGTCGGCAGCGGCGCCGCCGTTCTTCTTGAGTTCGCGCACCGTCGCGCCCTGCCGGGCCACGGCCGCCACGAGGCTATCACGGTCCATGCTGCTGCTGTCTTTGGAAAGATGGAAATTGCTGGCAAGGACCTGCGTTTGTGGTCGCTGCGATGTGATTGGTTAAAATGCAAAAGTCAGATAATTGCTGAATGAAGCGGCCGCCATCTCCGGTACGCTAAGGCTAGACCATGTACCGGTAGTTTACCACCACCGAGATCTCTGTTTTCTCTTATGGTGCTATTGCACGAATTGATACCACCAACTTGCTTTGACGGTGAGCGCGCGACGTTGGTGCTTGGTCCTTGGTGGGCTGGCCATCCAGCAATCAATTGACCTATTTGCAACCAAATGCCATCGCATCCGAGCCAATCACAGCGCGGATGCTAGATTCACGCAATTTCTTGTGGCACACTTGGGCAGCGGCGGCAGACGGCGCTGGGTGCTGGCGGGTGGCCACGGATGGCAGCCTCGCCGCCACCACCCATTGACATCGACGAGCGAAAGCTTATGGCTTTGTGCAGGTCATGCTGCGCAGCGGCGAAGGGCATCATTACGGCGACAACGCGACGGCAGGTTCTTGTGGCGAGCGTGCTGGGCAAGAAGACGAGCACGATCGTAGTACGTAACGCCACATTGGCGAAGTCGGTGCAACGAACGCCATCGATGGTCTTGCCTGCTATCCAGCGATGGCAGCTTGGGTTTGAGGAGGCTCCGATCTTGTATATGTACCATGCTGCTGCTTGCTGTGCGCAAGCGCGTCGGAAACGGTGAGCGGCGAGCTTTGATGCTCGTGGATCACTCGCTGTACCTGTCTTGCAGGAGGGAGATGACGCCACCTGCACATCCAGCGCAAGGCATCTCATCGATTCACTCTGGTGCATTCATGCAGGCAACAGGCTGGCAGTGCGTGCGCTTGGTGGTAAACCAGTGTTTATACGGATAGACTAAAATATGTCGACGAGAACCCTGCCTTCTTGACTGTTCGATGCGTTGGCCTTCTTCTACAAGCTCGATCCTAACGACTCCAACGTGCGCGCCAAGTGCCAGGAGATTCTCCAGACCTCAACTTGCGTGCAATTGATTTGGACGCTAGTGACCTCAGCTTGGGTTCACGTGGAGTCCACCACGCTTCGTAGCGGCGAGCAGTCGAGTCACCGACGCCACCAAGTTGGCTTCGCGTACGTACATACTAGTACGGCAGAGATGTTGGCTACAAGCCATTTACACGAAGAAGTCCTTCGATCTTGAACGACGGCCCGAGAAGGCGCTTGGATGTTAAAAGCAGTAAATATGGGAGCGCCAACGCTGTTGCTCCTCGGCATCGGCGAAAGCGAGCTAAAGGCGATGGGTTGACGCACCCTTCCAGTTGAGGACGGGCTCGTGTTGAGCTGCGCCTCGAGCGCGTCAACGGTCGCCGTTCTTCTCGAGTTGTCACCGAGTTACGGCCGCCATGGGCGTGGTGCTGCCGAACGAGCGACGGAACAAGCGGCTGCCATGGACGTTTTCCTATGTGGTCCCTAGGGGAAACGATGCGGCTGGTTTGATTGCAAAGGAGCAAACAGTCACTGGATCGAGGCTGCGGCACGAGTGTACGTGAAAATCAATCCAGCATCGGATTTGGCATGTTCAGTCGACGTGCGCTGTAGCTGTAGATGGTGCACGGTCGCACGCAAGCTTCCCCGAGATCGATTGACGGCTGCACCCTGCGCTGATCGTCCAGTCTTCTGGAGATCTGGCGCCAGGACTGCAACAATAATGCTGGCCGCGAGAGAACGACATATAGTATAAGACCAATCAATCCATTCCGGTGGAAAGAATGAGAAGATGCACAGGATCCGCAGACCGTGGGAATGCGGCCAGCGAGGTTTCCGCAAAGAACGCGGCGGCAATACCTTGCGTGCTGTGCTATCGTGCCTCTGTAGAGAAATCATACATGCATCAAGTGTCGTGCAGCCCGTTCCCCGGCCTCTTCCCGAGACGACATACTGGATCGCGAGGAAGGAACTTCTAGCCGCAGAAGATACGCAGTGGTCAGCAGCAACGACACCTCACGTCATCGTCGCCAGTTATCATCGGGCGCTGGCGACGATGACGTGAGTCTCACTGCGACTGATCCTGCAATCGACACGCATGAGTCTGCGGATAGTTCGCCCCACGCTGCCACTGGAACGCATGCGTTGGTGCCCAGACGCTGCACTCCACAGTGAGATTATCTCAGTGTGAACCATCGCAGTGCGAGTTTCCTCCCTATGCGTCAACCTGCTTGTATACGAGAGTTTGCTACACCTGATGACAAAAAACAAAGTAGATATATATAAGAGATTTGGCTCTACTCTTTGCGACAGAACGAGGTAGATATAAAACACCGTCGATGAATTCATAGAGCGTTCAGCAACGTGGTGTGTTTGGCAGCGCGATATCAGTGCGGCCGCGTGGTCAGAGGAGGCAGAGTGTCCGAGATGCGCACACGTTCATTTATGTCAACTGCGCGACATGCGATGCGTTCAAGCGGTGTGTGTGCGCTCTGGACTCCTACGCCTCCTTTTATACTCCGAGCCACCAGCTCTGGCGACACGAATGTAGAATAGTGTACTATTGTTCTGCGAGTGAAGAAAGGGGTAGGGCATCTCATGCCGATGAATCTAGCAGCAGTGCGCGGACGTTCACGACCAGCAGCCGACGACGCCGACGCACAAAAGAGTCGTGGGACTTGCATTCTTTCGTGCCAAATTTTGTCCATCAAAAAGCGTTCGTCGAGTTTGACCAGCCCCACAACCGCGAGGTCGGTGGTCTTCGAATCTCGCACCTGGTTTCAGCCGACACCAGTGTGTGTAGAGGTCTTGAGAACCGCAGCCGCCGGCCACATACTGTAGGGATGCGTATGCAAGGACTCGAGGCGAGTGCATGGCTCTGAAAGCAAATATAATGCGGTGTGCGTCGGGTTTCGCTGGAGCGGTAACACTGATGCGGTACATAGATGATGCCACCTTCATTCTCCGTGTGTACGATCGCTCGGTTGTTGCCGCCACCGACACAACCACGCCTGCAACAGGAACGTGCGTGGCACTGGGCATGACGCGCCAACGTGATCCGCACCATGTTGAGTCGTAGGCCTGTACGGGCTTGTCGATCGCAAATCGACACGTCCACTTGTTGAAGGGCTCATCGAGCGGAGTTGGAGTTGATTGGTAGAGCTCTACTACTTGTGGACACTGCACGTGACACACGCCCTACTTGTTTCTCCAGGTTTCTTGAAGGTGAAGTAGTAGCTCGTGCGGGTTAGTATGCGTTCGATCACATCCCGTCTTCCGATGCTGGCCCCGTTCATTCCGTCGTCGTCGTCGTCGATGATAGAAGCATGTCGCCAACCCTTTCTTGCTTGCTTGCTTGGAGCTCGCAGGGTACTGTGTGGTAGCACTGGAGGCTCGCTGCGCCTTGGACGACAAGGACGAGAGGCCGCGAAACGTCGGGGGGCCAGTACCGAGCACCGACGACGACGCTGCGGATGCAGTAACGCACTGACCCCTTCACCACAATGCAATTGGTGTAGTAGTGGGACTCGAAGAGGGCGACCGATCCTGCATGCCTCGTCTAGCCATCCAGTCGGTCCAGCATCGAACCTCGTCGTGTCTGGGAATTCGAACCTCGCCACCCACGCGACCTCATAGTAAGCATGCGATCACAACCCATGGACTCGACTCCAAAGCCACAGGACAGCTCTATTACTCGTCGACGTCGCTTTGGCCGCAGCAATGAATGATAGCGGTCAGCAATCCAAGAACGTGTATACGCTCCGTGCGTGGTCTGTCACTTTGCACTTGCTCGTTACCCAAGAGTGGCACCCGATGATTTGTGTTGGTCGTCTGGACCGAAATCGCACACACCCTTCGTCGTCCAGCGCCACCCATTCTCGTCTCCTCACCGAGTGGTGTCCAGTGTATCTATCGCCACTGCAATCGACTGCAATTTTCGATCAATACGCTGTATACCTGCGAGAGAGCGGGCGACGAGTGCATGGGTCGCATGGATTGACAACCGACGTCTGCGATAATGCGCACGCGCCATGGGACGCTCCGCCTGGTGAAATTTCAGTGCCGTCGCACCCAAAGGACCCATCTGGTTGCTAGCACCATTCGCACCGGACCCGGTGGGGGACCCGCCTCGCCATGGGGCTGCGACACGCGATACTTTCAACAAGGTTTATTTTCAGTTAGTCATCGTCGTCAACAAGGCCAACGTAGGGGGCCGTACTCTGCGCTGGCACTATCAGATCGCCGGTGCGCGTCGGACGAGTGTTGGACGAGTGGTGCACCGTTCAGATCTCATTTTGACTCCAAGTACACACACAGCATAATATGGTGATGACCGCGTCCCCCTCGTTTGTCAAGGCCGGCGTCCTCTTCAAGAAGGGGTCGGGCCAAGGCCTCTTCAAGCGCCGCAACTGGAAGCCGCGCTACTTTGAGCTCAGCGAGCACCACCTGCGCTGGTACAGCTACCAGAACGGGACGCAGAAGGGCCAGCTCAACCTCGCCGCGCTCACAGTCGACGCACTCGAGGTCATGCCGAGCGACGCCGTCAAGAAGGGCACGTCGGCCTCGACGATCTGGCGCATTGCGATCCGCAGCGGGTCGCGCCGCCTCCTCATTTCCGCCGCCAACGAGTCGGAAATGAACGAATGGCTCCTTGCCCTCGTCGGCGTCCTCGGACCGTCGACCGCCGACGTTCGCATGGCGAGCCCGTCCAAGAAGATTGTGCTCGCGAGCGAACGCCCCGAGTACGTTGTCTGCAAGCGCCACTCGCGCGTGCACTCGGTGCGCAACAGCAGCTTTGCCATGGTCCCGCTCGCCAAGCTGCAGCTGGTCTAAGCGATCACGCGCTCGTATTTATGAGGACGCACGTCAAGCAAGACGACGATCTGTATCGACGACTATTTATCCAAAAACTAATACTTATCTATCCAATATACACGACGCAGCCGTGGCGATCGAAGCCATGGCGTCCTGCGCCGCTTTTCTTTTCATCACATTGTCTCTTGCTTCTCCAAGATCGTGGCGGTAGCCAGCGCATGGAGCGCACCAGAAAATGCTTGCGTCTCGGCCGCGCCGTTGTTGAAGCCTTTTCTTGAGGTTGCCAGCGCAGGAGATCAGCGCGTATCCGTCTCGGGACGGACAAGATTGCCTCTGTCGTCGGACCTACTACTGTGCAGCGGCAGTCGTGCGCAGTGAGAAATATCAAACGAACGCCTCCGAACGCGCGCAGGCCGAGTACCGGTACTGCAGGTTCTATGAGAACTTAGTATCTTGTACCGGTATGTAGCTATCCTGGCTGGATTCTTGTGAAGGATAGCTCGCTCAATCGGCCGCAGGCAGCCCGACACAGAGGTACTCGTATGCATCAACGTGCACGGCGATCAAGGAAAGAACTGGACGGCGATGGGCGACCATGAATAGCTTTTTTGTATGGGCTGCATCGATCTGCTACATCGAGGGGCAGAATCCATGTGTGTGCACGTCGATGCTACTTGGTAAAATGGAAAAACCACCACGTCGCCAACGAGTGCTACTGACGCAAGATAGATCGAGGGCCGCACGAACGACCTACGATGCTAATACAATTGCCAACGATGGGACTCAAGACCGTTCCTAGGCTTGGACTGTGAGGGCACCGGATGTTAAGACGTCGCGTCTGTCCACTGACGCCATCGTCTCGCGAGGCTGCATCGGACTCAGGGCTTGATGCTGACGTGCGATTGACCACGACGACCATCATTCGATGCCATCGCCCATGTCGTGTGGATGGCGCCTTGTAATCGCGGTGACTACACTGTATTGATTGCTTGCTTGTCGGATTTCGACACAAATGCATCGCGCGGGGACGTGGCTCTCTGTCGTCGTTGACTGCGCGGGTTGTGCAGATGTATTCACGTCTCTGTGATCCTTGAGGTGCAATACTAACCGGGTTGTTGTCGTCGTTGATACACCACAACCTGCAGACGTTGGATGAATTGTCACAAAATGCGTAGGTCCCCCTATATTTTTATTGCGCGTTGTGTTTTATAGGGACCGTCCTATACGGAACCGTAGACAATAATATATTGAATGCAAAGTGAGCATCGATGCGATACGGGCCGTGACTTTGCACTTGCGAACCCGTGGGACGGGCTGGCTCGCATGCACGCTCGTTCAGTCTCGAATTTGCTCGGTTTTGCGCAGATACTACGACCGCAACTCATGCAGCCGACCACTACGACGATCCTTAAAGCCGGTGTGCTCCACAAGAAGGGGTCGGGCGCCGGCCTCTTTGGCCGCCGCAACTGGAAGCCGCGCTACTTTGAGCTCACAGCCACCCACCTCTCGTACTACGACTTTGCCTCGCGCCAGCTCAAGGGCGTCGTGAGCCTCGATGCAATTGGCGTCGACGCCATCGAGTGCATGCCCGAAGACGCAATCAAGACGGGCTCGTCCGGCTCGACCATCTACCGCATTGGCGTCACCACACCAACTCGCCGCCTGCTCTTGTCGGCGGCCAACGAAAACGAAATGTACGACTGGATCGACGCGCTCGTCGAGGTCGTCGCTGCCAACGCCAAGACCAAGGCGCTCGCCAAGATTGTGCTCGGCTCGGACGGCAAGGCGTCGACCGAGCACTCGCTCGCGTCCAAGGCGGCGCACGGTGTGTCGCTGGCCCCGCTCACACGCCTACCAAGCACCCTCAAGGCATAAGCGCCTCTCG